CCCCACGGTTGGGTCCTTTTCCTCCGGTACTCTTCCGGCGGCCTGGTTGGTGGAGTGCTGCCAAACACTTCGGTCCCATTCAGTTTTGCTAGTACCATAGAGCTTTTATCTGTCCTATCATATAATAGTTTATAATAATAATCATATTTATTGTATAATAGCAAATACTTACTACTAAACCCTAATAGTATTTGCTTTTTATTGATGATAATATTTAATAAAGCTAGCTTAAAGATTATTTTTTCTTCTAAATTTTTAACAATAGAACTTTGATCTAATTTTCAATATATATTACCAAAGATTTTGAGAAGAAACACCTGTACTTTTTTTATTAATAAAGCCAAATGATCCTTATCCGTATATGTAGACATTTTCTAAATAACAAATATATCTTCAAACGAATTGATTGCTTTTTTAGTATCAATGACTTTAGCTGTTTTAGAAAGATATTGCGAAATATCAATAGATAAGGTCTGTTATGATATTATACTATATTATACTATATATATTTTTAACTGAATAATCTGTAAATTTAACTATATGTTCTTTTAATATATTTAATATAGGATGATTGTTTTGATTTTAATAAAATATATCAGAAAGAAATGCTAAAGGCACTTTATTATAATTACGTCTTTTAAACTACAAAATGATAGACTATACATGAAATACACCTTCAATATATAATTTTCAATCTCCAGATCAAAATAAAATCAAATAGATATCTAATCCCACTAGTACCATATTGTCTAATAGTTCAAACAAAAATAAGAATTCAATATCTTTGCAATATTTATTAAACTTATCTATTACTATAAGTTTAATTTTTTTTAAGTACTTTTTGCTATTTCTAAAAGCACAAATATTCAATATGAACTTGGTATTTTGCTAAATATTCTATTCGTACTAAAGATATATAGATATTCTATATTAAAAATTCTAATAGGTCTTTAGTATAAATTCAAGTAGATTTAACTGAATATAAAGAACACTAATTATTAAAATAAAGGATAATATATCATTTGGTATATTATCTTTACAGTTTAAATAAATGAAAAGTAATAGTTTGACATGTAAACACTTGATTTGGCCAATCTGCTACAATTGAAAGAACATAATCTTTCAAATAATTAGTTAATAAAGGTATATTACAAATTTGTTGCAAAGTATCAATATATAAATCTATTTCTTTTAGACTTAATTCAAAGAAGTCTAAAAGAATCATGTCTTTCATCTTGTATTCTTCTTGCCATTTCTTTATATGATCATCATATTTGTAAAGAGTCATATTTTCAAGTTTTCACTTAAAGGTATTTCATAGTAAAATTGATCGTTAAACGTCTTAGCTATTCATTCCATATAGTAGTTATTCAAAAAATATCAAATAAAATTAGAATTGATTAAATTTGGATTGTAAATTGATATACTATTTGGTGCGATTCATAGAATGGCTATTGAATCAATACTATTCAACAACAAGATTGTTATATGTACTACATTTGATATTAAATATGTATCTGAAGTCTATGAAGTATAGATATTATAATAATCATC